CCGGTCTTGGTTTTCGAAATATTCGAATGGGTCGATTAAAATGGCCCACCTTGTATATATATATGATTAGGTTATAAATTAATTCTCGGCCTCAACATTTAATGTAGTGTAGCACTTATTTAAGCGAAAATTTTTTCCTGCCACGTTTGTTACTAAATATTAAAAAACTAATGGAACTATAAAACCCATATATGCAATATAACTATATAGCCAGTCGTCCTCTGCTATCTGTAAGAGGGAGTCGTCTCAAAAGCGAAGACTAAANTATAGCCAGTCGTCCTCTGCTATCTGTAAGAGGGAGTCGTCTCAAAAGCGAAGACTAAAAATGATATATATATTTCTTTTTATTTTTATATTTGCAGAAATGTCAATCAGACGCATGCGCATTATGTTCAAAATACATACCAAAGAGGAAGAAAATTTATTCCCTCACCGTGGTTATGGGGAAGGACTCCTCTCTTTCCGTGGCAAAAGGCCGAGAATTAATTCCATTATATTCTAAGATTTATTTTTGGCACCATATAATTATGCTATTTAGGTATATAAGCCCTCGGTACATGATCCACTGGTTACGGAAATTGTTGTCGGCAGGCAGATTGGAAATGAAAATACTAAAACACTTGCATGGATTCACTGAAAAAGTGCGTAAGAATCAAGTTCCTTAACATTCATTATGTACTTTAGTTTATGATATTTAAACGAGGATATTACATAATATTGCTGCTAAATACTGGTAAGATGTATTGATATATTAGTGAAATAATTCAATTAAATTAACCGCAATGTAAATTAATGTTTTCTTTTACATAGATTATAGCGGAAAGAAAACTTTATCATAAACAAATGAACGGTAGATACTTGAAAATTATCGAAAATAACGACGTGACAGAAACAGGCGGCGAAGAAATATATGGAAGTACATAATTCAAACTTAAATATCCTTTTCGTCATCATAATGTAAAATAATAATCGGGCTTTTCATTAAAGAATCGAAAGAGAAACAAATTTCGCATCGAAACTAAAAGCACATAAAAAATGTACATAATAAATCTATTAGGAAATAAACGTTATAGCTTGT